TTTTCGACCTTCAGTTCTCTGCTTAAAGGCCACCTTCTCTGCCAGACCTACTCCGGTCATTTAATCTAAGTGGTCCTCTCCTATTTTCCTCACAACCTTTCTCTCCTAGAGCACTTGTCATGGTGAAATATTTCTTACTGTTCATATTCCCAACTCCACCTTTTTCTAAAGCAAATTTCCAGAGGGCGGAGACCTTTTGTTTTATGCATTACAATATGTTTAGCTCCTAGCCCAGTGCTTCCCTCCAAATAGGAGCATAATAAGTTACTGTGACTGAGTTTTCTGGGTGGGGATGGACACAGAACAATGGCATTGCTAGCTGTGGAATTTTGCCAAGGTCTGTACTAGACCATGGACTGCCAGAGGAAGTTGCTTTCTTTGGACAGTCTGGAAATCAAAGTGACCACTGTATCCTGGGAGATTTTGGAAGATGTCGAGTATTTCAATGACCATTTTTTGTACCAAGATCCATTCCAGAAATTTCAATGCAGGTGCTAGTTGCTGAGGTAGATGCCTGGTCATTTTCAATGATTCTGTTTTCTTTTCCAGCTTTCAGCTTTCCTCTGAAAGGCAGCCAACACAACTACCTGGAATAAGCTTGAAACACTGGTCTGCCAAAAAGACTGTCAACACAAACTTCTCTCTCAAAGTTATTATCATTATATGTTTAAAAGATACTACAGGTAATGTATGTTCATCCTCATTTTATAGAGCACCCGTACCTAAGGATTGTATTTTTGTTTCTCAAAGCCAGGAGCTTCAGTTAGTTAAGAGTTCTTGACCAAATCCTCCTCTTGGCTGGGAGCAAAGCATAAGACTAATGTTTTGCTCAAACCCTCAGATCTGCACACTACAAACTTTAACTTTGGGGGGAGACACCTCTATGGGGCCTGCAATCAAACTGTGAATGACACAAGGAGTTCTGCTTACTGAAGTGAGGAATCCAGCATTGCCCACACCTTCTGAAATGAGTCTTTGCCTGGAGAACAGCAGCTGACTCAGCAGGATATTGGGATAGCAGTAGCCACACCCATTCTTCTCCCACTTCACTTCTAGTTAATGGAAATCCACCCCAAGAAGCTGATCATGGAGACACTTGTTTGTAACACTCTGGGAAGAACAGTTGCATCAATGGCCAAGGCCACTAAGGCCCATGTGACATGATGGCAATGCATTATTTTATGCGTCTTGTCTGAGTGTGTCTGGGAAGTGACGATCCTACAAATTACTACAGAATAAGAGTATTTCCTAATGTAAAGTAAACTTAGGTAATAGAACTGTTCAGATGAAGTTTATTGGGACTGGGGGGATTCTTTGTGATCTATGGAGGACCCTGAAGTTACACACATAAAACAGAGAGAGCAATGTAATGCCTTCCCAAGTGTCCTTGTCCCCTTTCTACCTCTTGGAGTTTTCTTGTTCTTCAGATATACCCAACCCATCAGCCTGAGAACCTTGCACCTGCTGTCCCTTTGCCCAGATGTGCTCCCCAAGCTATTTTCTAGCTTATCCTCACACACCTGCCTACATCTTACCTGTTCACATATGTGAGCAGAAAAGAATACTCCCCATTACCCTCATTTGACACCTCTGCTTTTCTCCAGGGTACCTAAAACTAATTTTATATATATATTATACACTTATTTCTTTGTTTTTTAGCTGCCTTCCTTAATGAAATTTGAGGAATGGAAGTTCCAGGCTGTTCTGTTTCTCTTGCTCTGCTGTATCCTAAAGTCTAAAAACAGTGCCTGACACTTAGTAGATGCTTAGTAAATATTTGTAGAATATATAAGCGAAAAAATTTTTTTTCTTGTGCTGAGTCTTGTTTTGTCAATAATTAGGGGCACTCCCAGACTTTTCAGATTTCCACACCATATGCAAAAAGTCCCACAAATGCATTCTTCACCTTTTGTATATCCTGCTCACAGGGGCTGTTATACTCATATGTAAACATACCTCCAGAGCCCATGGAAGGTATTCACTCAAACACAGAGCATTGAGAAAGAAGCAAGGATCTGATAATAGAGGAAGGAACAGACTTGAGAATTTTCCACCCTTTTGATTTAGTCCTTTTTAATCATGGTGTGACCTCTGTTATTCTTACTGTGCAATGTTCTAAAAAACTTATTTTTAACTGCTTTGCATTCACCAAAATGGACTTTCAAGAAAATCAAAACATGTCCATTTCTCCTTCACATTCCTTGCTCTCATTCCAAAACATTTTTTCCCTCTCATTTACCAGGTTTATTTAATGGCTATTCACTAGATTGTCAAATTATCCTTTTCATTATTATGAAATATGAAAGAGGGAGACTGGGCCAGGGAGTGGCAAGAACATCTCTTTCATGTTTATTCCATTCATTGCCAGGAAACCTCTCTCTTTTCACTCAGATTATACAGCTTCTAGACTGTGTCCTGAAAAAGGCTTACATGTTTTTATTTGAATTCCAAGTCTAACCTGTTTTTCATTAACTTCCTGCAGAGAGCCATTTGTGGAACAGTCTGAGTGCCAACATTTACCTAAAGAAGCTTCAGGGAACATGGTTTAAGACACACAGCAGACAGGAAGTTGCACTCCTGCTGACCGGCACCTAGTTAGGCCTCACAATTGTGCTGCTTGAGATGTGAAAAGTCCCTTTCAGTGAAAACATCTTTATAAAACTGGACCTCCCAGCTCCGCAGCATGGAGGGCCCGAAGAGAAATGCAGCATGTCCACAAGAGCATTCAAGTCACATGGCCAGGAAGAGCAAACACAAAGGAAGGCTCTCGTGGGATGTTTCCAGCAGAGCACAGAAGTTCTCACAAACCCCACACTATCCAAAATGCTCAGGGTTGGTGTGATCCAGGGCATGGGGTTTGAAAGACATTACCTTCCCTCATTTCTCTCCCCCTTAGCACATGCCAAGGGCTCCCTGAGAGCCCTGCCACTGGGTAGGGAAGAGAAGCTGTGCTTTCTATCTTCTTACCACAAACACAGCATCGTGGATGAGCTTTTGCTCCCAGAAAATTTCTACCATCACGAACCCCTTTCATGTTTTCTCCACAGGCCCTGTATTTGGACTGATGCTGCGTACAAATCTATATTCATGACAAAACATGAACTTGTCTTCCCTAGAGTTACTGAGTAAAGATTTAACCCTGTCAGTGCTTCTGATCAGCATAAGGTAGTCAGTGCCATTGTGTTGACATAGTTTTAGTAAAAGATCAAAGGATATGACCTTCTGGAAAATGAGCAATTCTGATGTGAATAACATGTGAGGTATAAGGAGTGTGCTTACCTATGCTTTGGATCTCAGGCATAGAGGTTCAAAAGCCACTGACTGTAATTTCTAGAGTGATAAAGGATCTGTTATGCTCAAGCGATTCTAGGGTGGACCTCCAGATAGTGCAGGAATCAGTCACCAGAAAGACCAGCCAGGTGATCAAAGGTAGGCACTTTGGGAGGGGAAGAAGACTGGAGATTGCTTCAGTCACCTGGCCAGAGATCCCATCAACTGTATCCATGTGATGAAACCTCAGTGCTGAGGGTCAAACAAGCCTCCTAGTGGGTGAGGTTGATGAACAAGAAGAGCCATGCACCCTGACCAGGGAGAGGGCACCAGAGCTCTGCGTAAGCCCATCAGACCTCACCTTACAGGTGGCCTGTGTGATATAAGTGTAATAGTGAACACGAAAGGTTCATGGAAACCCCTAAATTGATAGCTCCCTGGGCGGAGGTGCAGTTGCTCTGAGACTCGCCACTGAAGGAGGGCTTGCCCTTCAACCTGCAGAAGCTGCTGCTAACTGTGGGTCATTAGCATAGTAACTATTAAAGTAGAAGCACTTGTTGTGGGAACAGATTATATATCTTTTCAAATACACACATTCAACCCTATAGAATATACAACACCAAGAGTGAACTTAATGTAAACTATAAATTCTGGTTGACTATGATGTATCAATATAAGTTTATCATTTGTAATATTGCTTTAATTCTCAGTGAGGTTTAACTATTTTTCCCATATATTTAAAGAATATTTGTGATTCTTTTCATGTCCTCACAAATTTTTCCATTGAGTTCATTCTTCTTCTTTGTTTTTTTAAGACTTAGTTATTTATGCATTCAAGATCTGGGGTACAGACCAGAGGTGGGAGGGGGAAGGATTCACCAGAGACAAAGTGGGGAGTAGATCAGGCAGACTGACTGAAATACACTGCTGTGTGGAGACATGGTCTGCAGCACCATGTTGGTCACCTCCCTGACTGGGGATTAACTCTTGCTGCGATAGCTTCATAGTGCTGAGACTTAACCCCTGTGTCACTAGGGAGGCCCAAATTCATTTTTCTTAGTGCCTTATCCACATTATTTGTATTTTAAGGAATTAAAATACAAATTCCTTTGGTCTGATATACTACAAAAACTTTCCCTTTGCAGGCTGATTTCTCTTTCTACTAATATAGATGTATAACTTGCTAACATAAGTTATACATCTCTACATAGTAAGTGGATCAATATTTTTCCTTTAGTCTTTGGTTTGTGCAATGATTATGAGTGCTTATCCCACTCCAAGATTATTTTTTAATTTACCATATTTCATCTCTTTCATTCCAGTATTTTATCCATCTGAAACTTATTTTAATATAAGAAGCAAGAAGAAATTCAGATTAACTTTCCCCCATATGGTTAGAAGTTTTCACAACATTACTTACAGAATGTCATCTTTTCCTCTCTTATATGAAATTCATCATTTTCACATAATGAATTACCAAATCAATTTCTATCTTTATTCTGTTACTGACTTCTTTCAATGTCATCATAAATTATTTTAACTGTATACTTTTATATTATATGCACTATATTTAACACCTTGTTATCTTTACACATCCTCTAGATTTCTTGGTATGTTCTTCTTTTTTCTGATAATTTCTATCAATGTCCCAAAATTTTCCTTGATCTTCTGGTTTACTGCATTTTGATTTCACCGAAATAAGTTACTGCTATTGCTTGAGTTGTACCTACCCAGATAGATGCCATGATGTTCCAACTTTTCCTTGAGTTGAACTCACAAGATCCTATAAAAAGAAGAAAATTAAGTGTTAGAAACCTGCAATTCAGAATACAATAATCTCAGACTAACCCTTACTCTTTAATCCAGAAAATGAAAGTCAACGTTTGAAGAGAGGCCATTGCAGGAAGATGTGTCTCTAATACCAAGAACCCCGTTTGCTAGACAGACCATTTACTGAGTACATCTACATAAGAGACTACGCTAGACTGAATGGCTCAAATAAGAGAAAGATGTCTGTATTTACGAAGTTTACCACCATGATTCCTGGAAAGCCAATTTGTGACTCATTTCAAATCTAGTAGAATTAACTAGATGCAACAACAAAAGTATATGTCTGTCCCACCAAGTAAGTGCTTCCATTGTCATTTTTCCTTACCCTGTCGGCTTAATAAACTTTTTCTTCTTACATTCCAAGGGAAAAAAGCATCCCTAGGAAGATAACATAGGCATTGTTGACCACCAAGGGAGAGCGAAAGCAAGCTGATGTCAACCAGAATCTCCAAACGCTTACGCTGCAAGGTGGGACATGCTGGCCCTTGCCCAGCCGCCCTCTCCTCCCTTGCAGCTCTAGTTAAGGGCCCCTGCCCACTGCCAGAGAACAGGGTGGTGGTCTTACAGACAGCAGTATTCGGTCCTCACTTCTAAATCTGTCGACAAATTAAACGCCTCAAATTCTGTTTCCTTTTATTGTCCAAGGGACAAACTTCTTTTACCCTTTTACTACCACCGAAGGGAGCAAAAACAAAGGCATAGGAAATTGCCCCCCCTCCCACATAAATTTTAGCTGCTTTTAGTTTCATTCCTTGTGTTTGATTGTAAAATTTCCATTTACATGCCACAAGACTCCAAGTTGGCCACCCGATGCTTAAGTAGACATGTCTGCATTCATGAGACAGTGCTGTCCTTTGCAGGTGGGTCTCAGAGGTGAAAAGGGCATCCTGGGTGGGTGCTGGCTGGGAATCAAGGCACACTGTCCACAGGTAGGTGTATTTAAACATGCTGGTGTATTTAGAAGTACACGTAGCTCCCACCTATCCTGGGAACAAAATATTCTAAAAGTCTACTGACAGGCCCTCCCTGGTGGCGCAGCGGGTTAAAGCACAGCACTGAGAATCTGAAGCCACTTCCGCATGAGTTCGATTCCCGCCTGCCGCCTGCCCAGGAGGAGACCACATGGCGAGCCAGACCTCTCCTGACCCGCCCACTGCTTCCCTCAGCAGTGTACTTTGTCAATCTGCCTGTTCTGCTCCCACTCTGTCTCTGGTGAAGCCTCTCACCGCCCCTGAGCCTCTGGCCTGTACCCCAGCTCTGTATGCACAAATAAAATAAATAAATCTTTAAAAAAAAAAAAAAAGTCTACTGACAGCCCCAGAGCAAAGTTCAATAGGAAATTACACCATTAGTCCCTTATCTACTCAGCCCAGATTTTTCTCAGGACCTCTGCAGCCTAGGGAATTCAATTCTCTAGTTACTGGTTCTAGCACTACTTCCGCTCTAGATACAGTGGATACAAGTTATTCCTAATTCTAATTCTGGTTTTTCCTCTTAAAGATGAAGTTCAAATTCCTTGAGTCTCACTTTTTGCACCATTCAAAAGGGGAGATGTGCTGTTAATGGCAGTGAATGAAATAATATGTACAGGTCCTGCCATATTCCCCACCTGAAAGTAGTGTTCCCATGAAGTCTTTCTTAAACCAGAAAGACTCAACTACCATTAACTTATGGAACATTTTTTGAGACTTCCTAGACCCCACCCCTCCCCCATACTATCAAATCATAGCAAATATATAAAAAAATCTAAAATAACAGTAAGGTACAGTAAAGGCAGGAATGATGTAAATATATTATGTGTGTGTATAAATTATATTATATATAATGTATATAGTACATATTTGAGATCTATCTATCTATCTATCTATATCTTTTAAGTAGTGCCAGGGAAGAAGCTTGATGGTGCCACTTTTACTGCCCAGAGGCTACAAAACAATGCTGGATGCAGTTTTTTGAAGTTCACTTTTGTTGGAGTAGTGAAAATCCTCTTTGCAGTTCTTTCTCTTAGCTAAATCAGGTACTAATTAATGTAGGCCCTCTGTAAAAGCAAAGTGTTCAACTGCAACTCTGAAAAATCAGAGGATTCCCGTATAATAATACCAGCTAGCATTTTGAGGTTTTACTATACACCGGGTAATTAAAAAGCACTAGGTCAACTCTGCATGGCTAAAGATTTTTGTCACATTCACTCACTGAGGCACAGAAGGTACTAAAAAATGACATGAGTAAACGAAAGATTTAATATAATTCTGACAATAATCTAGGGAGCTAGGTCTCATTTGAAGCAGGTGGAGTCCAGAGGCATATAATAATGTTCCAGTTTCACAGCGAGGTGAGTCCCCTGTCCTACTGAATCTAGGTGGCCGCACTCCAAAAATATCAACCTAAGTCCCAGGTTTCTGCCTTGCCCAGGTGCTGGCTCTCTATGTGGAAAACTAAAACCCAATGTGTAGGTCCAGTTATAATTTGTAAATTGCTAATGATTATTACTGATTTAATTTTTAAGAAGTATCAAGTTCCTCCACAGTGAGGCCAAATGACTTCACAGAACTTTAAAGATCCTTTTCTGAAAAGAACTGGTGTCTACATCTTTTACTTCCCTCATCTCTATTTCTTCACAGAGGGCATGCAACCACAGTTCCTGGAACAAAGTTCCAGTTTTCTTTACATCTTTCAAACTTCCTTTGTTGGCATTCTGAAGTTTTTAGCAGCAGCATCGTTGCAGAATGACTTTCTAATGAGTTACATTTTCTTATGATGTTAATTTTTAAAAGGAGGGCAGAATCTGTAAACAGTCTTTGAACAGACTTTAGCTCCAGAAAGCGCAATCTCTTTGTCAGCAGTCAGAGGGGCCCCCAGAGGCCCCAGAATCCTAGACCAGGTGGAGATCTATCTCTGGTCTGGGGTCATTTGCAATCAGGTACCCAGCTCACCACCTGCTGACTCAAATACCAGGGGGATGATTCATGCAGTGAACAGGAGTCTGTTGTAATCAAAGAAAAAGGTGCCTTTACAAGGAAAAGAAAACTACTTCCAAGGTCCAATATTTAAACACACTTTTCTTTCAGCTCTTTAAAATGTAAGCGAATATAATCAGTGTTAAGTTCAAACTTAAGGGGGGATTCCAGCTCCTCAAAAGGGAGGCGGGAGCCAGCCCCACCAGGACCTTTGAGGACCCCGTTCTTTTTTTGACCCCAAGTCCTCTAGACTGGGATGGCCGAGGCTGTCAACTGGACGCCTATGCTGCTAACTGTAGTGAAAAGTGTAGGGTCTCGAAAAATCAGACAGAGGGGAGGATAGTTAACGCTCCCTAAAACTTTAGAGGGGAGACCATCCCAGGGCACACCACTTTCAATACCCCCCCTAGCGGCCCTCCCCCCAACCCCCCGACCCGGCCCAGGTCTCAGCTTCTTCATTTCTGGAGTTGGGGAGCGCCAGGCTGGAAGGACCCGCCGCGGGGGTGCCAGCCCTGCCCACCTCGACAGGGGACCCAGCTGCGCTCTAGGGTGAGGGGAGAGGCTGGCAGACACTTCCAAGCCGCGGGCCAGTGGCGGCTCCAGGTGACCGCGCGGGGAGGCTGAACTTACCTGGCCGCAGCCGCCAGAACGCCCGCGAGGAAGCTCCAGGCGCTGGGCTCTGCGCGGTCCCCCCGGCTGTTCGAGGCCGCGCCCCTTCCTCCTGCCACTCCTCGGGCCTCCAGACTCCACCTGATCGCAGCCTAGGGCCCCAGGACCGGGAAGCCGCGCCCCAGGGCTGAGGAACTCCAGTTCCGCTTCCACCACTTCCCCTAAGCCTCCCAACTCTGCTACTGCCTGGTCCTTCACTCTCCTGAGTATCTAAACTTTCCCGTCCTCCTCGCTAACATCTTCACATTGAAGCCCATTGCCTCGGTTTTCATTTTTTCTTTCACTTACATTAAAATATTTAGGTTCATTGCATCACTTAGTTTGTTTTGAGCACTTTGGATGCAGATTCTCAGTCCCGACTCAGAGAGCTCACCTCCTTATGTAGACCGTGAACTCCTAGTAAACGTCTGCAACACTTATCTAGCATTTTCTTTTGTGCCAGGGATTGTTCTCAATTCTTTAAAGATATTCACCAATTTAATTCTTAAGCCAACCTTATATGGTAGGTTATTAAGTTTCCCAGTTTATAAACGAGGACCCTGAGATATAGAGAGATTACATCATTTAGCCAAACTCACACCAGGGAGTAAATGATAGAATTGTTACAGGCAGGGAGCCAGTCACAACCAGAAAGCTCAAACCTGCCGGGTCTAAATAGGGTTTGCCATCTGCCACTTCAAGACAAAACATACTCTAGTGGAAATCTTTGATTGCCAGCACAGGCACCTGCTGCCGCTATGGAAGAGGCAAGCATGGATGAGACACAGTTTGGGAATCAATGATCTGACAAGCCAATCAGGGTCAAAATAAACTCACATGAAACGAAAGTCAGTAATTCATGACGCTTTATTATACTTTTTATATATAATGCTAAATTCTGGGAAAAGACTAGAAGCCCTGTATCTCTAGGAGAGGACACCACAAAGAAATGACACTGGGAAGGAGGCAATAGACTTTGAATTTATTGAAACATTATCATTGGAAAGAAAATTTACTTTCCCATAAGTTTGAAGGTAGTAAGTATGTTATGTATTTCTCAATGACTTGCTTTATTTCTGTTGCTGTTAATCTGAGAAAAGTTCTTATCAAAATGGTGATTGAAGAAAAAACCAGGACTAGTGAATGTAGATGTTCGCAAACTTGTGATTTGGTTTGTGTGCTGTAACTTATGCTGTCATGCATTTTGCTGTCTTTCGGCAGGACAATACACGCTACCCCTTTAGCCAGTAAGGGAGCTGGTGCAACCGGGGAAAGTCACATGTTGGACTGCAAATTGTGCTTAGGAAATGTGTGGTCCTCCAAGCTGGGTCCTGGGACTGAACCCTGATAGAAACAAATTTTCTTGGATCCTAGCCCAGACCGACTATTGTGAGGAAACTCCAGGTGGTTCTGATGCATCCTAGTTAGAGAAACATGGGCTTAAGACAACATTTTCCTCAAGTGGAAGAGGAACTTTAATGGAGAAAGCTGGGAGACTTACTTTAAAAAGCCAGCTCACCAGGATCCCATCAGATTTACAAGACTTTACATTCTGCACTGTAATTCCCAACTACAATATACTATGAAATCCCCATGTCATCCTAGGAAATTCTGGAATTAGCATGGCGGCAGGAAAAGCACATTACTAAGAACCCATTGTTTATTCCAGACATTAAGTAATCCACTGAATACATGGCCTTATAGCATGCTTACTAACCAAGTTAACTTAGGTGTGCTTACTGTACTTTGCAAGTGTAGACAGGCTCAGAGGACTCAGTGACTTCCACAGGTAGTAGTCCACACACTAGTAAGAACAGGGCTGGATTTAGACCCAGAAGGAAATGAGTAATTGGTGGTGTTTACTTTTAAGAGTAATTTTATTTTTTTTTTAATTTTTTTTAAAGATTTATTTATTTATTCATACAGAACTGGGGTACAGGCCAGAGATGGGGAGGGTGAGAGGATTCACCATGAACAGAGTGGGGAGCAGAACAGGCAGATCAGCGAAGTACACTGCCGAGGGGAGCAGTGGGTGGGTCAGGAGAGGTCTGCCAAGCCATGTGGTCACCTCCGGGGCAGGCGGGGATCGAACTCGTGCAGAAGTGGCTTTAGTTTCTCAGTGCAGTGCATTAACCGGCTGCGCCACCAGGGAGGGCCAAGAGTAATTTTAATTGTTCGAAGTTCAGTGTTTCACTCTTCAGTTTTAGAATGCAACTTTATAATAGAAAAATAAACTCTAACCATTTTCTGAGTTTATTGTAACAATTATCCAACTACAATCATGCTATCATATGTTTACAAAATTAGCATTTTCCCTTCACAGGATCAATTTTCTCAGGAGATCATAATAATATAAATGTTAGGATCCCCAAAGTCAGGCTTATAGCCACTCAGAAACAGAATGCAGAAAAAACTATGATGAAAATTTCACCATTTTGAATATATGGAACAACTTTATCGAGTTATTAGAGGTTAATTGTCCTATGTTTTCTTGTTGATTAATAAAACAGTTTGAGAGTCAAAATAATATTGTAGAGGTAAGTTATAGAGGTATACTTTAAATTTATGGTAAAATGTGAGGGGGTAACTAAGCAGGTTTGATTTGCCATGTAGTGGTGGATATGGTAAGTTTGCTCTTGCACTGGAACACTGAGCCAGCTTGGCATTCCAGAGTCGATTGCTAAATTTTCAGGAATTTTGCAAACCAGGTGTGAAACACAGCCATTTACAAACATTGCATTAAAAAGCACAACTGAATTTTGTTAAAAACAAAGAACTCAAATAGCCACTTTCTAATTGTTCTACTGCATTGATGCTCTTGAGGTTAGGGCCATTCTGTCAGTAGGGTGGAAATACCATGTGAAGTGTGTTCCTGTGCCATGCCTCCCACTCAGGTCAGTGCAATCATGCCGGTAGGTGGCGGTGACAGTGGTGGGTTATCTGCACCGGAAATGCTGGTCTCCCCACCTCTAAAAGCCTGCTGTGATATACTCATCATCATTTAATGGTCAGAACAGTGAGCAGATTTAAAATAAAGGCATGAGTTGAGTTTCAGTGTTTAATTATTTCTAATTTCTACTAGAAAACTATAACCAGATGGCATTGAGCTGAAGGGTAGGGAAGAGTTCTGGAAGAAAAGAAACCACATAGTCAAAGGGCTTAAGAGTTTAATGAAGGGCTGACTTTGAGGAATGTGGGCAGGGTCAAGATAAAATAGTTGACAGAGTGATGACATCTCCAAAACTAAGAACAGGGTGAAATCACTGCTATCTCTAGGCCTGATATCAGAACCCTCTAGAACTGGACTCTGGAAGTGTTCAACATGTCAGCAAAGGGCAGGCACAGCTAGAGCCAGAGCAGAGGAGGGGAGAGGGGCCCGAATAGGCACACCCTAACTTCTCTCCCAGTTGTCTCTCCACGTGGCCCATTTATAAGGAAGCTAAAGGGCAAGGGAGACTTGGAGAGGCAGTTTGGAAAATGAGCCTCTCAGAGCAGAAATAGGGTGTGAAGGAGTGAGGGGACAATCAGGATGGACACTAAGAGAAAAAGCTGTGTGCCGACACCAGGGACCAGCATTGGTTCATTCTAGAAGCATATCTTAGTGCAGATGTTTAAGGGGAAAATATTGAAACTGGTCTTTAATAATTTATGGAAATTCTTACAGACAGGATTCGAATTAACTTTTATCACTTACTGGTCTTGGAACTTGGTGGCCTTAAGTACAATGAGCTGAATAAGAAACAAATAAAGCAAATAGACCAAAATGGGACACAATTCTGCTAGTTTTTTGTTTTTTTGGGGGGGTTGGAGAGGGTTGCAGTATGGGACTATTTTGTTGAATCAGTCAAGTGACCACATGTTTTGTGACAAACATTAAACCCAAGTTTAGGAGTGCCAGACATGACCCTCGAAAAACAACACCAATTTGTACTTGTGAAGGTCTTTTGGCAAAAGCTTGCAATTGTGCTATTCATGTGGAACTCTCAAAAAGAATTACCAAGGACAGTCACCACACTGTCCATAGGGTTGTTCTGAGCACTGAATGAGGCAAAGCATGAAGGAGCCCCTGTCTCTGATTGCCAAGATGCCCAATATTTCTTGCTAGAAAACTATAACCAGATGCACTGAGCTGAAGGGTAGGGAAGAGTTGGCAGAAAAGAAACCACACAGTCAAAGGGCTTAAGAATTTAATGAAGGGCTGACTTTGAGGAATGTGGCAGGGTCAAGATAAAATAGTTGTCAGAGTGATGACATCTCCAAAACTAAGAACAGGGTGAAATCACTGCTATCTCTAGGCCTGATATCAGAACCCTCTAGAACTGGACTCTGGAAGTGTTCAACATGTCAGCAAGGGGACAGGCACAACTAGAGCCACAGCAGAGGAGGGGAGAGGGGCCCGAATAGGCACACCCCAACTTCTCTCCCAGCTGTCTCTCCACGTGGCCCATTTATAGGGAAGCTAAGGGGCAAGGAAGCCCTAGTTGGCGCTCTCTAGACTCATCTGAGGATAGAACCTGTTATCTACTGTGGCATTTTAATATTAGAATTGAGACATACACTTATTGATATTAGACTCTTCAACTTACAAAATCAGTTTTCTCATGAAACTGAACAAAATAAGATATTCTCAGTTTAGTCTCCCTCCCCCATTCCCATTCCCAGAACATTTCTTCAAAACCCTAGCCTTAGAGTCACATAAAAATCTAAATATGAACTCATTTTCTGCCACTTACCTCCACATTTTTTAAGTTGTATAGCCATGAAATTTCAGGACTCAGGAAGCATTTTTGTTGCCAATTCTAATAATTCTCAGATTGGGGTTTTTTTGCTACAGCGTCTCCAGAGGCTGAAGAGAAACGCACTCCAGCGTTTAGAGTCTGCTGTGAGGCAAGGGAGCATCTCAGGAAATGGTGAGGAAGTGCAGCTGACATTATGTCCCAGGCAGCCTCAATGGAAATCCCAGGTGTGGTGAAGGCATCTTTCCACAGCTGTAGAAAAACCTGCTTTCTTAAGCCTTGCTGAGGTGCCACAGACCGTACCAACAGAGCCTGCTGGTTTCTATTATTGGGGGGAACTTTATTTTTTTCTTTTAAAAAATTATTTTTTTACATCATTCTTCATTCTGTGCATTTTTTCATCTCAATTGCAATCCCCATGGGCTTCCCACCACCAATTCACCTGTGCGCTGCCACCACAGTCCACTGTACTCTGCCCACCCCAGTTCTGATCCCTTCCCCCTTCTAGCCCCATAAAATGTCTCTGATTTATAGTTTTTCCATTGTTTTCATTTTTACTCTTTTACATTTGTTTTTCTCTCCCCTCCCCCCAAATTGGGGACCTTTTATTTAACAGGTTTAATATACATAAACCTGTTACCCAGAGGAGGAAAGTGCACAGATACCTGTTCTGCATAAGGCAGGGACTCCCTGGACTCCCTGCACAAGCCAACAAAGTTTTTGGTGTTTTGGAGTCTCAGGGGTTTTAAGGACATTTAGCGACTTTCACATTTGTATAAAAGGACACAGTCCTCTCATAGACAGCAAGTATCCAGGACGTATTTACTGATGGTCAATGCAGTATAAATTCTATTACATTGTACACAGAGATTTAAGTTATTCCTCTTTGTTTTGGGGTTTCTACTGATTGCAAAAGAGGAGCTATGATGACCTGGGACAGGAAATACATTTTTTATCTTCCCTTTCGTGTCATTAATATGTATATCAGATACAACCCCTTGCAACGTGTGATTTCCAAACACTCTGTTTCAAACTTCAGAATGATTTTGTCATTTCAGTGGCAATTTCTATGTAAATGAGATGAATAACCTAAAAAGAACATAAGAAAGCACAACCAGACGGTCATTTATTAATACAAATTTATATAGTGGCATATGCTATTGGAGAAACCAGAAATTCATAACACACAAACTGCAACTGGAAATACAAAAATCATTTCAAAGTCAAGAAATCAGGTTGACAGCACCACAAATGTTTCATCAGTCTGAGCGGATGTGTAGTATCCAAGGATAATGAATGCCTACAGGATCTAAGACTGCAAACATGGTCCAATTCTATTTCCACATCCAAATACAGTAAACTGCAGGTGTCCTCCAGAAGGCCTGGGGCAATAAAAGGGCAGAATGGCAGAAAAAAGGTGCAGATTCCTTTCTTGTTCAACCTCTACAGCTAACATGTGATAGCAAATAGCAACCCCTGAAGGGGATTTGTTCCTTCTCACCTCGAGGCATGGTATAAAAGATTAGTAAAACACACACAGGCATTAGTGAGCAAGTTAGAGAAAGTGAAAGCAGAGCTATGACTTAGATACAGTGCCACATCAGTCACCAAATGATCCCTAATACGAAGTACAAAACATGAATGAGACGACAAATTCTGTGTCAAAGGAGTAAATGCCAACTTGACATCTTAGCACTTTCTTTCAATCAGTGTCCATCCACTAGAGAAGTCATTCCATAAAGCAGGTGCAATTGGGGTGGGGGAGGATGGACAGAAAGGAAGTTGTGGGAATATTCTGAAAGTTCATTTTGCACACACCAGTCACTGTTCATGGTCCTCACGCAGGTGGCTCTGGCATGGAACGGACATGGAGGCCACTAAGAGCAGTGAGAACACCAGCTCCGTTCCTTCCCACACTGGCCTCACCTGATCCCATCTGCATACTCTTCCTGAGCAATGTCCTGTCTAGTAGGAAAGGAAGGGGTATGCAAGAGCAGCTGAGCAAATGGAAAGCTGCTGCTTCAGCAGGTGAACCTCCAGGTGCCAGAAGTGGTCATAAATGACAGGTCCCATCAAAGGGTGCCACGCAAAAGGCTGACTTTCTGGGCATGCAGACTTAGCGTGAACCACTTAGACAGTTCTGGAGAAGACTGTCTACCTGCCAGCAGAGGTCTGCAGCCATGAGACAGCAATCCTGGTTGTTTATGAAGCTGACACAGCAATTCTGCCCGAATGACCCAAGCTGATCTCAAGTAGCACCTGACCAGCGAGGAGTTTCTGTTCTGGGCTCACCCACCCCTATCCGTTCTCCCCTCAAAACTCTCATTTCAGATGCTAAGTCAGACTTTTCTCTAAATGGCCTGCTCTGGGGGTGGACCAATGCATTATGATGACCTTCTGTTCACTCCTTCATATCACATGAGATTGCTGCCTATATAGATTGGTGCCTGTTTTAGAAAGAGAATTATTTCATCATCCAAAAAAACAGCTTTTGTTTATTTTTTCCCTTTTCATATTGCTACTATTCTCTCTCAACTCCCTCTCCTAAATTTATTTCTCTATCTCTCACCCATAACAACATTCACTTTTCACTCAAAAAATATCTTGGGAGTGCTTGTTCTGTACAAGGCATGACTAAGGGAGAGATACCTAAAACCTTTCACAGTTAATTCTTTCTAGTTTTTAGCACCAAAGTGTTTCCAGTTTGGAAAGTTCTCAAAGCTCTTGGGTCATCATCATACAAACATCACTCCACATTTATGCTCTGGTTTTTGCCCAGTGACAACGGTATGCTAGACACTGAGAAGAGAAAGTGCCTCCCATTCAAAACATGACACGCGTGCTTATGTTTTGGCCAGTAAGGCAGAAGCAAAAAAGAAGCACAAAAGCAAGCTGTGTGTAAACTACTTAAAAAATAGGCTATTTGAACACTAAATCATTTCAAGCCATGTTTTGATGGCCATTATCATGTGCAGATCTGGTAAAATAAGTGCCTGAGCTACCGGAAAAGAACTCCCCAAAAGAAAGATCCCTGAAATATGATACCAGGAATGGTGTCTTATCTGTTGTGAGTACTAGAGGTCATCTCTTAACTCAGATTTTACTATGACCTGGGCTTTCTCCTAATTTGTTTTATTCAAATGGTCACTTGCTATCCTGGGACGCTAGCAAAGTAACACCCATAGCTAGCAAAGCACACAAGCTGGTCTATACTGCACCTGGCAGAACCCCGCAGGTAAGCGTAGAGGACTTTTTAAGCATCCACGAAGATGCTATGGTGCCTGGGTGGTGTTGGACATCTTCTGTCAGGGAGGGTGTCCTGGTGCATCCCTGGAGCACAGACTTCTGGGCTTTGGGTCAGGTGAGATGCTAACATGGTGTGAGCTGCTTGCCAGGCCTCTCCTTCCTTCCAGGCTACATTCTACTCCTTTGTCAGGGCGATCTCAGTGAGACTGATGTCTGACAGGAGAGGCCCACATTTCTCCCTCGAGATGCAGAGAAGTGTGCTATTGAAAGGACTTTGCAATCCCAGTTAAGAGACCCAAATGCCAGTACAATCGGAGGCCATAGACAGCAGGCTAACATGGGAGGCAATGAGCAAACC